AAGAACTGATTCTACAAAGACTTTCATCTCATTTCGAGGGGTCCAGAGGATATTGCATCTAAATTGATGCTGTGCCCATTGTCAGTTAGCTATTCTACATTAACCTCAGTGGCACGCAGCACAAGGCATTTATGTCTCACTCACGGTGTGGGTCATAGGGGCAGGTCAGCTGTGTGGCCCTCCCCCTGTGGCAGCTCAGGTTTTTGTCTGCTAACATCCCACGGGCCAAAGGAAGCCACGTGGCCGCACTCGCAGTCAAGGGCTGGGGAAATACATTCCATCTTTAGGAGGAGGGACTGCAGGCAACGTGGCCAAGGGTGTGGACACAGGGAGAGATGAAGAATTATGGCCAATAATTCAACTTACCACGGTGACTAAAGTAAAACTCTGTCAAGGATTGCATCTCATTACTGTATTTGCACATACAATTCCTGTCCCTACAGTGGCCAGTCACTGACAAGTTCTAGAACCCTGTATGTGGGCTGACTATCTTGTTCCAGACAGATGGCTGCACTCAGCCACAAGCTGCCTGCCCCAGGGAAAGGGAGGCGATATTGGCTTTTCTTGCCTGTCCTGCCCCCAGAAAACCAAAACTATCTCCAAAGAAGTAATCATGAGTTTGGGGGGGGGTGCGTTGGGAAAATATGATTGAGGAATTAATGAAACATGGCTCGTAAGATCATTATTCTATTGTATAACCCTATATTACTATATTAAAGGCAGAAACAGGAGTTTGCAGGGTTTTGCCCTGAAGGAATGTGTGGACTCAATGGTTCACTTATTAGAGGCTGCTATCATGGGAGAGCTCTCAGATCTCCAGTAGGGATGTTTTCCAGGAAGGCTTCCCAGTATCTCAAAATCTGTGAGCTTCCCTGTGTTTTGAAAGATAAGGCAAATATGGCCCAGAGGATGGGAGCCGGAGACAATGAGTGCACTTTGCCCAGAGAAGCACCCCGGTGATTATAAACAACCTGTTTATTAGAGATAAGTTTCCTGCTCTCTCCTGTCTGTCTACCTTTAAGTCCACCATAACTCATCAAAGAAATACAGAGTCACTATCACTGTTTTGTTTTACCTCTGTTAATTGACAACTACCTCTTAGAACTTAGAAGCTAGCCCCTGAAAGATTTTGTACCTGTTTGTTCACCTAGATAGATTAGAAGCCCCTTGAGAGGACTTTTGACCCCAACCCACTCCCTGTATCCCCTAGCAACTGCATTCCCTGATATGCAAATATGTTACCCTGACAACTGGTAATTGATGTCTGTGATTATAAAAACCTGTATGAATCTAACCATATTGCTGGCGTTGATGGAGATATGCCAGTCCCCTAGGTACTTCCCGCTGTGTTATATCTGATCTATCTATATATATAAAACTATAAATTATACCTTAGTCTCTGTGTAGTCTTTTATTTCTCTCTGCTGTCTATCAGTTTCCTTATCCTCTGTGGCGACCCCTATCTTAGGGACTTGGCTCTGTGGGGAGAAGTAGCTGATCTCCTCGTGGGCCTGCCTCAACTACTCTCCCCCCACGGGGGGGGGGGGGGGGGGGGGAGGCGGGGAGGGGGGAAGGAAAGGATTGAATAGGTGGAGCCCAGAGGAGTTGCAGGGCAGTGACGCTACTCCGTGTGATACGGTCATGGTGGATATATGACAGTAAGCTTTTGTCAAAACCCATAGAACTTTACAGCACAAAGACTGAACCTGAATGTATGAGAATTTTTAAAGAAATCATTTAGGAGGTCAGGGATCCCATTTGGGACTCCCAGGGTGTAGAGGTAGGTAAAAAAAATTAAGATGCATCCACAGATGTGTCTACACAAAACTTTGCTACCAGAGCTAGAAGAAGAGGATGAGCATAAAACCCAACTATGTTCACGAGTGAGTGATCCACAATGTGAGCTGATAGAAACGTATCGCCTAGTCTGGAATGCAATACCTAGAGTACGAGAGTCCATGCTATCAGAAATTCAGGGGCACTCAGGCGTGGCCTGCCTCTTGTCTCCTGACCTCTTGTGTGACTGTCCCTCTGCATCTTGTCCCTGGCCAACTCACTGTGCCTCAGTCACTCCACCTGCTGCAGTGCCTAGAACACTTCAAGATTCTTCCTACTTTGAGGCCCTTGCCTTGCTCTTCCCCAAGCCTGGAAAGCCTTGGTCCCATCTCTGCACATGCCTGGCTCCTTCTCCTCTGATAGTTTCAGCTTCAGTGAAGTCTCTTTGGTAGGAAGCCCGTGGCCCTTCCTCCCTTTAGAGTGGAAGCCCCATGCCTGTCTTTCACTGCTGCATCATTCCCGTCAGATGAAGCACTGCCTGGCACATAGTAGGTGCTCAATAAATATTTATGGAATGAAAGGGATACTCATTCACTAATATTTGGCTCAGCACCCCAAGGGAGTATGGAACTCTGCTTTGGAATGGGTGCTGTGAAGTCAGCAAGTCCCATGCCACACACACTAAACTAAGAGAGAATCCATGCAATGTTCCTGATTGGCTACTGCACAAGTCCCAAAAGCAGTTTGATGCTCAAGTGCTGGCCAAAAACTGCAAAGGAAAGGGAGTAAACTCCAGCTGATAGGTAGAAAACTATAGCTGTCTTGATGAGAAGAGTTTGGGATATTACAAAATGGAAGCAGAAAGTAGGACAGGTCAAAATAAGTGATCCATAAAAAAACAAACAAACAAGAAAAACTTGTTGCTGATGGAAACTTAGAGGGCAAGCTGCCTCTCCTCACAGGTCCTGCTTGCTGTTGTGATTCAGGACAGTGAAAAGAGGAGAGGGACCTCCACAGGACTTCCTGGGAGACAGAGAGGGGGAGAGACAAAGAATGAAGAAGGGGCATTTGACAGGATGGCCATGGAGCCAGCCTTTTCACACGGATTAGATGGAGGACTGAAAGGCCTGTTTTTGCCTACACATGCTCAGCTCTCTCTCCAGCCTTGTAACAACCTAACTGAGCGCTAGTGAGGGGTCTGGGGGTGTGTCTGGAGCTGCATATTCTCTAGCAATCTGGGGTGGGTGCAAGGCTATACCCTCCTTGAACCCTGGTGCTATGCTGGAGCAGCTGGCTCGGGCCAGGCTGGCTCCGAAGGCTGTCTCTGCTGCAGCCCGCGGCGAAGAGCTCAGACTTGAAGGTTTCCTGGTGGGCCCCAGAGGGGCAGATGTGGGAAGATTCCTTCTAACAGGGCCACAGCTGTCCACTCGTTGCTTGTGGTTCTTGGAGGACCCGCCCAAGCCTGATGACCCGAGAAAATCTGGGGGGAGGAGCTTATGGAATAGTGGGATAAACTCAACTCAATCTGTGCCGTTGAGAAACAGGCATCTCTCACTTGCTTGAGGAGGCCAGGGGCAGGATGGTACTCTTACCTGTATGTCAGCGGGTAAGTGCACCCCTTCTCTGTTGGCTCAGCTTCTTTTTTTTCTTTTCTAGACAGAGTTTCACTCTGTTGCCCAGGCTAGAGTGCTGTGGCGTCAGCCTAGCTCACAGCAACCTCAAACTCCTGGGCTCAAGCAATCCTCCTGCCTCAGCCTCCCAAGTAGCTGGGACTACAGGCATGTGCCACGATGATCAGCTAATTTTTTCTATATATTTTTAGTTGGCCAATTAATTTCTATTTTTATTAGAGATGGGGTCTCGCTGTTGTTCAGGTTGGTTTTGAACTCCTGACCTTGAGCGATCCTCCTGCCTTGGCCTCCCAGAGGGCCAAGATTACAGGCGTGAGCCACCGCACTGCTCAGCTTCTTTATGGCTCATCTGCTAAACAGAATGGGCCGTCCTTCCCCTGAAGCTGATTTTCCTCGGCCCAAGAGAACCCAGTGAACTGACCTAACCTGAGGGTGCAGACAACCCATGTTGCCCTTTTGTGAGCACTCTGTAACCTAAGTGAGAAGACCAGAGCCAACGGCTAGAAAAGGCAGCTCTAATTAAAGCAGAGTCTGTGGAGAAGGTAAAGAATATGTTCAACATGACAGAAATAACTCTCAAGGAGATTCAATTATAGAGAAAAACTAAGGCTTTCTAAGATTTAAGCTAAAATAAAACATGATGCTTCAATTTACAAATACAGTAAATAGAACAGCCACTTTTGAGAACCGAACTTATGTTCCGAGTGAGCAAAAGGAAGAAATTTCATACAGCAGATGTCAAAAACATTAAAAAAATGGAAACCATAAATAAAAAAAGGGCAATCCGGGAGCCTCTGATGCAAGTGATAGTTCAGAAGAGAAAGTAACACAGAAAATAACATAAAGAAAAGAAATACTTAAAAAAAATTGGTGAAATAAAAGACACGTTCTAAAGGTAAGCAGAGATTCCAGATAAAACTGAAAATAACCTTTAAAAATGACTGAAATATTCCAGAGGTAAAGAGACAATCTTATAAACTTTTGGGGAAAACAGGTCACTTATAGTGGTAATAGAATCAGACAAAACGATACTCTAAACCAAAAGACAACTGGAGCAACAAGTATGGACTACAGAGAAAATAAGGCTGTGATCCAACATTTCTATACCTAGCCAAGATATCACATAAGTAAAAGAATATATAGATAGCAAAAATCTCAGAAATACAAAGAGAAATTGCTGAAAACATATTTATTGTGGGATATTTTAAAAATTTTTCTTTCAGAATTTGACAGTTCAAGTGTATAATTAAGGTAAAGACATAAGGGATTTGAGAAATACAATGAACTATATATTTTTTCTCTTTATTTCTGTAACATAAAAATTAATCAGATATTGATTAATGGTATTAAAGAAATTTTGATAAACTTTCCAAAGCAGAGATTTTTTACTTTAATTTATTAAAAAAAACAAATCAACAATAACAAGATTTAAAAATTGTCTTATTATTGGGAAATTAAGAAATCTCTTCCGCATAGTTCCTGGTTCAAAGAGGAAGTGAAAATTGAAACCTCAAATTAAATATCCTAAAGAGAAAAGAAAAAACATATCAAAACCTATTGGGCACAGATAAAACTATGTTCAGGGAAAATGTGTAGCCTTAAATGCTTTTATTATTTAAAAATAAGACAAAGCAAAACATACAAACTCGTAACTATTGCAATATATTTGGAGCAATTTGCAGCTTATTTTTTCTTGATTATTGAGAAGATGCGTAGGCAGGTCTTACTTAGCACTTCCATTAATTCTCAGATTATCTTCATTTGAACTATTTTCCTTTTTCATTTCTTCCCTTTGTCTGTGTCACAGTGAGAACGAATAAAGCGATCCAGAATTTGTCTGTCTGAAAATTACAAAGGAAACCAGAATGAAAATTTCCCTGTAAGTATTTAAATGCTAAATACAGAAATTCCAGGAAGGAGAAAAATATCTGATAACAGTACTAAATATACAAATTTGATAAAAGACCAAAATAATCAAAGACCATTACATTTACTACCTAAAGAGGCCCAGTTGCCTAAGTCTTGATTAAGAAGAGTAATTTAACATTCAGGGGTTAAGCAGACCTTCCTGGACAGACCACGGATTTTAGAATGAAACAGACTTAAGCTTCTGTGCTAGCAGGTATTAGCAAAGCATTTAACCTCTCCAATTCTTCATCTTCTCGTCTTTGAATCCAGTACCTTGCACCGCTGTCAGAATGGATTAGGGTCGCTGTGGGTGAAGAACCGAGACGGTGCCTGGCCCATCAAAGACACGCAGTAAATAGTAGGCTTATTCTTTCATTACTGGGTGCAGAGGAATATACAGAGATTTTAAACAATAGAGATCATTATTCCAAAAACATCACAGAAGCCAGGGCTGCTTTTCCGCCCGCCAACGTTGGTAGGCTTTGGTATCCTCTAGCGATAGCTGTTTGGCCGTGGGAAGGCCCTCTGAGTGCCCAGCCTCAGTTTCCTCATCTGTAACATGCGGGAGTCTTGTCTGCTGCTGACATCTGTGATTCCCTAATCCTATTCACATATTTTTTTAATAGCACAGAGGGGAACTGTAAAACTGCGCTCACTCCCAGCAACTGGGAGTCATTTGTGCAGCCAAAACAAAAAAAGGAAGGAGAGCGCAAGAGATGTCATGTTATCATGTCCTATGTTCACATTACCCTGCTCATGTCACCAATGCCAGCTGAGGTCCATAGATGGGGATGTGTGTGTGCACATGTATGTGCGTATGCGTGTGTGTTCCTGTTTTCTCTCCACGTATGTTTCCATTTATTTGTTTTTATGTTTAATTTTTTTTTTTTTTTGAGACAGTCCTGCTCCATTCTGTGAGCTATAGTGCAGTTGTGCATAGCTCACTGCAGCCTCAAACTCCTGGGCTTAAGCGATCCTCCTACCTTGGCCTCCCAGAATGCTAGGGTTACAGGAAAGAGCAGCCATGCCTAATCTTTGTGTTTAATTTTGAACCATCCCTGCCCTTCTCCATACCTTGACACCAGTGTTTATTAATTGAAGTATACTTTTCATAAAGTGAGATGCACTGATTTTATGTGTCCAGATGAACTGACACTTGTCTACTTGTAACCCACATCCATATGATGATATAGATCGTTTTCATCACCCCAGAAGACCCTCCACACTCCTTCCCAGTCAATACTTCCTACCCCAAGACAGCCACTGTTCTGATTTCTTTCATCATAGATAAAATTTGCCTATTGTAGAACTTCAAATAAATGAAATCATACAAAAGGTATTCTTTTGTGTCTGGCTTCTTTTGCCCTGCATGATGTTTTTGAGGTTCATACATTTCGTTGTATACATCAATAATTCCTTCCTTTTTATTGTCGAGTGGTATTTCATTATGTGAATATACCACGGTTTATTTATCCATTTTCCTGTTGATGGAGATTTGGGCTGCATCCAGTTTGAAGCTATTAAGAATAAAGTGGTTATCAACATTCTTGTACATGCCCTTCTGTAGACATATGTTTTCTTTTCTCTTGGGTAAATATTCAGAAGTGGAATTTCTGGATCACAGTATACGTTTAACTGTATGAGAAACTGCCAGAAGTGTTTCCAACGTGATTATACTATTTGATATTTCTGCCAGCAGTGTACAGGGGTTTCTCATTGCTCCGTGTCTTCAACATTGGCTGTTGTCAGCCCTTTTCATTGTAAGCATTGTCTCTCTTTTTAAACCTTATACCAAAGAATTTATTTTAAAATAAGAAAAGAAAAAAATCCTTTCCTCTGATACCAAAGATACCAGATGAATCAAGCTTGGCATGAATTGGCAAAAAAGATAAGAGTGTGTGTGTAAAATTTAATGTCAACCTAACTGTTCAGAAGGGCTATCAGTTGTAATTCAAATGCCACCCCTATTTACTATGTATAGATGTAGATTCATGACCCCCTGATATGGTTTATGCAATTCCTTTTTCAGTCCCTCCTCTCCTTGTCATGCAGATTAATCTTTGAGACTTAAAGGACACCTCCTCTGAGCAGCCTTCCCGCATTCCCTGCCCACCGCCAGGGTTGGGAGTATCTCTTGCAGGCTTCTACTTATACTCAAAGATTATTTTCATTACAGAGCTTATGACATTATAACTATGTGTCTGTCCCCCACACCAGACAATGAGTTTCCCAAGAGGGGTTTTTTATTTATCTTTGTATCAGTGAGCATCATAGGTATTCAATCAATGAAGTTTACTGAATGAGTAAATATATGGATTCTGACTATTGAATCACAGGCGAGGAAGAAATGCAAATTCAAGGGGTTTGCAGTGGGAAAAAGAGATGGGGAGGGAATCATGGCTGAACAAGTTCACAGAAAACTGGATTCCAGATCATTTTACCTTTCAAGTAGGGGCAAAGTGGGCCGACAACACAGTCTTTTCCAACAGATAACAGGCAGCCTAAAGAGTCAGCTTGTGGGTGATCTGAATCAGACTCAGGGATTAAAATAATTTTGCAAGTAGAATAGCCACTGAAGGCATCTCGTTCAATCTCCTCAAGTTATAAATAAACTCAATGCCAAATAGTGGTAATGCACAGAATCGATGGAAACTAAAGGTTTGCCTGTAGCTGTCTCTCCTCCTTTCCTCTCTAGCTTTATTTTTTGTCTTCCTAGAGTTTTCTCTAGCCCACCCCCGCCCCTTCTGCTCAGCCACCCACCCCCTCACCCCCTAACTTGGCCATTATTTGAGGGGAGGCTGGTCCTTTCCATTCCTCTCTCTCTTGCAAATGGACCTGTTCTGGGCTCCTGTCCCATCTTGGCCTACCACCTACGAGGGCTAATCCAGTAAAATAATTTCAGCTGAGTTGATAATAATTGAGCCTCACACATCTGCCAGGTCTCTTTTATTCCCTGCATACGCGCTCAGCCACAAAAGGGCTGCAGAGACATTCGCCAGCTGAAAAGCATTAGTGTCATCCCTGACACTAGAAAATGACAAGAGGTTTGGGGCATAGGAATTCAAAGGGAACCTCCTATTTGCTTGTCAGCCTCGTGCAGAGCTGGCACTGAGACTGCTCTAAAGCACAGCTGGGGAGAGAAGCCAAAACCCAGGGAGGCGGGTGCTACGTGAGCCAGGTCGGCACCAGACAGCAGAGCTCTGGGCATGAACCTTTGGGTGCCTTCCCCAGCGCCGCCCTGAGGGAACAGGAAAACAGGAGGGCTAAGAAAAAAACAAAAACCAGCCTGTCCTAAAGCTACCCTGTAGGCTAACAGTTCATGCCTCATCAGCTGGGGAGGGAAGTCGGGTTAGGTGGAGAGATGGTGTTTACCTGGAAGATCAGCTCATCTTGGTGCCTTGGACAACGTAGATCCAAGCTGAGCAGAGGCCGCCAGGGCACTCTGGGAGTCCCTACTCGCCAAGGCTTGGATCACGCCTGACTCGCAGCAAGGGACTGGGGTGCCCGCAGCCGCCAGGCTTTCCACGAGGGCAGAGAGGCAACAGCTGCATCTACACTGCAAGTCCCTGGGCAAGTGAGAGCATCTGCTTAGGGAAGACAGAGCATGCTTTCTACAGGGCCCAGCAGATGTGGCTTCTACAGGTAAAATGAGCTCCTTTTGAAATGCAGACGATGATTTTGCACACAGGCACCAAAGCTGAGAAGAACAGGAAGACAGGCTTAAGCTTGCTGCAGAGCTTTGGCTCAGCCTGCGGGAGGACAGGGCCAGCAGACCTCGGAGCCTTTCAGTGTCCTGAAGCACAGACTGGCCCAGAGGCCTCTGCTGCGAGGAATGAGCCTCCCAGCAGAAAATACCGACTTCCGCGTCTGCCTCCACAAGGGGCGAAACATCTGCTCCTTGCACTTCCCCAAAACCCAACACTAAAGCTCTTTTGGGGGTCATTAGGCCTTCAGCCCTCAGTCTGTGAGGGTGAAAAATACCCTTTTCCCCAACACAAACGCATGTGCACACACACGCATGTGCACACACACATGCACACACAATCGCACACGCGCACAGCTCCCTACGGGAGGTTTCAGTCTTGCTTTGGGGCCGGGGATCCCAGAGAGAAACGGTTTCAAAAGGGATTGCAGAAGAGTAAGTTCTTCTGAATGTGGCTGGGGACAGCAGTTGGGGACCCAAGAGAGGCAGGTAGGAGACAAAGAACAGCTGGAGGGCTCCTGCGTAGCTGGTGGAAGACCTGAGCCTAAACCTCATCGTGGGGCACAAAACAGGTTAGCGGCCCCACAGACCTAGAGTGCAAAGTGGGGTTCAGAGGATGGTCTGTTGGGTGCAGGAAGAAATATTACAACCTCCGCTTCTATTTGCTTTTTATTTCCTCCTTTAACTGTATGTTTTATAATGTACATGATGCATTAATTTAGTGGCATATGAATGCACTTTATATAAATATATACATCTACAATACATATATATAATGTATATACATATATGTATATATAATGCATATACACATATATAATGCGCATATATAAATATATACATCTCCATGTGCTCATGCGTGAGGAATGGGGACATGCAATTGCCCCGCCTCAAACTCTTATTCTCTGCATTGACACTTTACACACTCTCAGTTAGACTGACTCGTTGCCCCTGAGGTGCTCTCAGATCTGTTCCACTCACTCAGTCCTGACCTGGGATAGGTCTTTGTCACGTGGAGAGACGCCACACCATCCTGAGAATGGCATTTGCCCTCTTTGAGGGTGTGATATATGCAAAGTCTCATGTGCCTTAAAAAGCCTGTCACTAAAAAAGTACCGGCCGACAGGAAATAAAATTGAACAGAATAAAACAAAATTATGAGATAGCACAAACACCCACTGGAGAAAATCAATTAGCTATAAGGAAAAGAGAAACCACCCTGGAGCAATGCAACCACAGGCAAAATGAGTTCAGAAATGAATGCAAAGCTGTATGTCTCCTTTTCAGTAAGTGGGAATATAGTCACTGGGGCCTCTTAACAGAGAAATTTCTTTTCAGTGGATTGAAGTTAGCACACCACTATGAGATTTTTTTTTTTTTTTTTTGAGGCAATATTTTCCTTTTGGTGGGCATTCCACTCCAGCGGCTAGAAACTGGAGCAACTTCTATTTGGCGTAAAGCAGTGGATTACGGTCCACAAGTGCATGAAAGAGCAACTCGAGGCCTCATCTTACCTTTGTAGGAAACACTCTGAAGGTACTCTTCTACTTGAGAGGGAGTAAAGGAGTCCCAAAGCGTCAGGAAATCCAGCTGTGCTCTCTCGTAGTCGCTCTGGTACGTGGTCTGCTTCTTGGTGCGCTCTTGGTTCCTTATGTAGCTGTGCAGCACGGACGGGACTGCGGGACACACAGGGGACGGGGGACAGTCACCCAAGCCAAGCATCCGTGCCCCTGCCGTCTGAACGCACCCCTGACAGCCCCGAGCCCGACTTGGAGCCTAATCGGCATCCTTAATGACAGCGGAAACGAAGGTGCCATGACTGGGGCGGGGCAGAGCCGCCGGGACTTCCGGACTGTGGCTGTTGGAAGTGGCAGTGACGGGGGGCAGGGGGCCAGAGCGTGAGTTTGCCCACCACGTTCAGAAAAGGAGTGCTCCATGAACCGGATTCACATGCAGCTCAGCGTGCTAGGATGGTGAAAGAAACCAAGATGTTTCACCCCAGCGTGTTTTGACATATTTCGACACGGTTGTTCAGAGGGCCTGCAGACACAAGTAGCCCTGCGAAGCTGGCTGTTGCGGGGGAGATTTGCATGCGGGGGAGATTTGCATCTGGAGAGAAAGTCGGCACTCGTGCATCCGGGCTTTCTCTGAACCCCTCCCTTGTCTGGATCTAGGAGAGATGAGCTGAGAGCCTGGTACCTTTAACGCTCTGAAAGAAACATTTTCCATCTATTCTGCCTGAGGGCTGCTGCCTGTGAGGTTTCTTCTACGTCACCTAGACAGGCTTCCCTGTTCCCTCCTCCCGAACCTGTTTTGCCATTCTCCGAGCCCACATTCTTTCTGTAACCTTGACATGCTATAAAAGTGACAACCATCTGGCCATTTCTCCGAGTTCTTATATTTTGTATGACTCCAGGGCACGCTAATACATCTGTGTGCCCTTTCTCCTTTCAGTCTGCTTTTTATCAGTCTGATTTTTCAGCAAACCTTCAGAGGGCAAAGGGGAAGGCTGCCCTCGGCCCCTACGATGGTCACATTCACCACCTGCTTAATGAACAAAGGCCCTCATAGAAGCTTCTTCTTTCAAGACATCTCCCCTGCAGGCCTGGGATGTCACACTAAGAGGCCACCTCCCAGGGACCCAGGCGGCTCTGAACAAGCAGTTTGGAAGAGTGACAGCATTTATAGTGAGCACTCATTTTCCACTCAGGCTCATGGGGGTAAAAGGTGCAAGCAACCCCCACATCAAAGTGATTACCCATATTTGATTCTGAATATTGTTCACTTAATGTGGGTTCTGACATTCATGGGACTATCATGAAAAAAAAATAATGAAGACATGATGTGAAGATCTAATTTCTCCAACTTGCCCAATCTTTGTAGACCTTAAGGATGTCTTCCACTTCCAGGTGTCCCCTGGAAGGGGCCATTGGCCAAAGGGGGGCCTACATTGCTGAGGGGATTTGATACTGCACCCTGAAAAGGGCATTTGGAGGGTCTGGAAAAGAGAAGACTTAGAAGGTATATGGCAAGCTTTTCATAGAATAATAGTCTATTTATACCATAAACTTTCATGGGAAGAAGTAGAACCAATGAGTAGAAGTTTAGCAAGGAATATTCCAGCTGCTACAGCTTTTTAAACAGCTGGAGACAGGACACTACTCTGAACTGTGGACACAGGGACAGTATCACCCCTCAGTAAGGACAGGGCAGAGGAGATTCACACGACATGAGGCTCAAGACGAGGTAATTTCTAGGCTACTTTCTGCCCCCAAGAAGCTAAGCTTCCATTCTGTGATTTTTATCCCAAGTACTACTTGATCCCAACTCCATGCCAGGAATAAATCATGCTTCAGATGGACACCAAGTTTTCTTCTTCATCAGTAGCTTGGGGGTGGCTTGGGCATGGAACTTGAAAAAACTTTCAAAGGGTGTACCATGAGGATAATGGACAAGACTAACTGTGCTCCACCTACTCTCTTTTTCTGTCATTTTATGGCCACCACATCCTTCCTTTTGCTTCATAAGGGAGGAGTGTCTCCCAATCCCAGTCACTGCTTATCCTAGGCAGAGACTGCACTCATTTCATGGCATAAGCCATCAGTCCTCTTCTGAGACGCGCTGGTTCCATGGGTTTCGGGTTGGGAGCCGTGGCGACAAGGTTCCAGTGTCGTGCCAGACCACTGGCTTTCTCTGTGACCGTTATAGAAACTGGCTCTCAGGGTCCTCTGCACTGAGAAGTCTTGGAGCCGGGGCTTAGGGTCTGTGAGGGTTGTGTTAGAAACTACAGTACGGGTGTACTCACCCAGACCCTTAGACGCAATCGGCAGGCTTGCGTAGCATCCGTATTTGAAACTAAAATCCTGAAGCTCAGGAATTTTAGCTGGAATTTGGTAATTCCGTCGAAATTCGGTGTCTGGAGGTTGGGGAAGGCACTTTTTCCATTCTGGAGACATCTGGAGCTTTTCCCTAATCTTATGAGCTGGGGTGGGGATAGAAACAGAAGGCGATAATTACTCGTCGTAAGCTATTTTTAAGTAGCTTTTCATTCCATCTTGCTTCTGGCAGCAGCTTCCAATTTATCGTGCTAAAAACCCCACTATTCTTGTATCTAGAAGAACAGTTAATGTACATGGACATCTCAACCAAAAAATAATTTGCTGCTTTTATCAGTCACAGGAAGTATATGCTCAAATGATGGAGACGTGGTTTCTAATGAATATATTTGTATGACAGTGAGGGGTGTCTGTTTGTTCTGCTCGGTGGGCACAGAAGGCACCAATCACGCCCCAGGTCTGCCTAGTCCCTGGGGCAGAGCGGGAAGCAGAGTGAGAGATTTGGGATAGGGTTGCTATAGAAAACACAGACTGCCCAGTTCAATTTGGATTCCAGATAAAAAAAAAATGAATACTTTTTTAGCGTATGTATTCATAAGTATTTGTTATCTACTGTGTGTCATTATTCAAATTTAACTGGGTGTCCTATATTTTTATTTGCTTAATCTGACAGCCCCAGATGGGGTGGTGTGTATCATCCCCATTACCTGGGAAAGAGCCATTCAAAGCTTATCCCTCACTGATGGAAGGTTAGGTAACATCATTGTCATTAGTGGACAATAGTGCTATTATTTCTTTGAAATATCTCTGCTAAAACATATTCATTAAATATAGCATCCGTAAATATCTGTGAAGCACTGAAGTGAGTTCCACAAACACTACGATGTTACGCAGGAGAGAGTTCCAAGCCACTCACTTGGAATGAGTTCGCCCCTAATTCTTGCTATATAGCCTTAGTTCAGGCCCACATCAAACAGCGTCATCTTTATTCAGAAGGATGCAGATGTTAAAAACATGGGTTTCATGAACGATGTCCAAATAGTGCAAATTACTATTGACACTGAACTCAGTTCTCTTCCAAATTAGTTTTTCAAGAGGTATTTTCAAAATAAATTCTAATATACATTGTATGTCCAATGATGGTTAATGGCATCTACTGGTATACACTGTATATCAAAAGGATACAGAATTGTATCTACTGGCACCTGAGAGCATTTTTATATTGATTTTTAAAAAATAATTTCTGTCTAGAGCAGCAGAAGAGGACAGGGTTCCATTACATGTGGCCTCTTACTTTAGATGACCTTGTAGGAGAGGATGCAGGGGCTCAATGGTTCTCATAGTGACCCCGTAAACCGCCCCTGAGCAGACAGTTCATAGAGAGAAGGAAATTGTAGGGCTCAAAATCAGGGCACCCCTTAAGATATTTTGGAAATCATCTGATACTGTCCTTATAATTTCCATCTATAACTTAGTGCTATGGTTTGAATGTGTCCCCCCAAAGCATGTGTGGGAGACTTAATCACCAAAGCAACCGTGTTGGGAGGCTGGGCTAATGAGAGGTGATTAGATCATTGTCCTCATGAATGGGTGAATACTCTTATTGTGGGAATGGGTTAGTTATTGCAAGAGTCGCTTCCTGATAAAAGGATGAGTGTGGCTCCCTCCTTCTTTTTCTCACTCTCACATTCTCTTGCCCTATTACCTTCTGCCACAGGATGATGCAGCAAAAAGGTTCTCACAAGGTGCCAGCTCTTGGCTTCCCAACCTCCAGAACCAGGATCTGAATAAATTTCTGTTCATTATAGATTACCCAGTCTCAGGTATTCTGTTACAGCAGCACAGAATGGACTAAGACACCTGGTTTTTATAATTTACTAATAGCTTTACAGGGAAAAACAAATATCTATTGAAATACTTGACACATATATCTATGTCTCTTCCCTAGGGCTACCATTCAATGGCAAATGTTTTCAGTTTCTGTATGTGTTCTGTGCTGTTTGCCAAGGTTATAGATAATTAAGTCATCGTTCTACCCTTGAGACAACTAGTGTGATTAGAAAGATATCTGCAGGACAAACAGATGTGGAATGCAATAAATCTTGCAACCATAACCCTGGGAACTATGCTTCTTGCATGGAGATAAGAATTCAGAATCACCTAGGAAGGATTTCTCAGAATATAGCTGCTGAACCTCGTCCCAGACATTGAGAATCTCTAGAAGTGGGAGCCATGCACTTACCCTGTGAACGAATGTCTCATGTGCTTAGCAGTCACTGACTCAGAGCTTTGAATAAAGATGATGGGGTAGCCCTGAGACTGAGGGGTTGTGTCGGGGAAGAGGAGGAAGACAGGGACTAAAAGGCAGACACAGCACAGGGCTCTGATGACAGGTCAGCATGGAAGCAAACAGTCCCCAGCGTGTCCATGCAACATGGCTGGTTGGCAAAAGGGTGGGGCGTGCAGGGAAGGGAGGAGTAGCTGAGGGTCAAGTAGGAGAGGTAAGTTGGGGCCAGGTTCCGAAGGGTCTTAAAAACATCTGGTCCACATGCACCAGGATGGAGCAGTAGAGAAGTAGGAAGTTGGAAGATGGAGATTAAGATCCCGAAAAAGCAGAAACCAGGGCCTAGACTTTAGCCTAAGTTCCTTTGGAGACAAAGTTCTCACTCTTCATCGATCCTCGGTACTTATCACAGCACTAGACCTCACTAAATATTTATTAAATTAATGAGTGAACAAAAAACACCCTAAAAACATAATTGTTATGGATTAGCAATTAATATCTGAACCGCACTCCAGTGACTGCCAGTGTGATCTATGTTAGGGTAACTCCTAATCAACTATGTACTGTTCAGTCCATAGTGTGGGCTTCGCTCTTCTCGACAAAGGGAGGCTTTCATTGTCTCTGTACAATCTCCCGGTAATGAGCTCCTTCACACGTTAGTAAGAAGAGAGGTTCCTGATATAAGGGGATCCAACCAACACCTGAACCCCCACAGTGGTGCTGAAGTATAGGCAAAAATAATAAGCATGACTCAGTGAACCTGAACCAAAGACCCTTCCAGGGGGCCATCCATGCTCCCCAGGAGCTCAGCTCCCCTTGTTTCTTTTCCACTTGGTAACTGCGATACTAGAGTGGTTTAGCCCAAAGAAATAAATTGGCCCATTTTGAGATTGCGCATGACATCTGCAGAAAGGCCCAATCCAAAAGTAAACTTAGAGCATGGACCATTCAACACCCTCAGAAGCATCAGCACATAATCTCAGCTAACTGGGAGTTAGTCGTGTTGACTGTATCAGCTGCTCTGATCCATCAAAGCCAAGTTCTCCAAGCCCGAATGTGAAAACAATCACCTTCTAGCGTTTCTCACTCGCTTGCATTGATTCATTCATGAGGATTCAAGACTAAAACATGGCCTGTGCTTCAGATGCTTCAAGTAGTAGAGAAACAAACACACACACAGAAGATAATTACAATGTCATGTGATAAGTCCTGCAAAAGAGGTATGAACAGGGGCTGCTAAAACACGGGGGAGGGCCATGACCCAAAGTGGGCAACCAGAGAAGGCTTCCAGGATAGAAATGAACCGACATCTGGACTTGAGTTATGCATAGACACGGGCTAAGTGAAGGGAGGAAGAGGTGTTCCGGGGGCAGAAGCAATGTGTGCAGATGGCAGGAGGCCGCAGGAGGGCCGTGAGACTGGAGGGCAGCTGGGGTCTTGTCACTGAGTATGGGGACTGGATAGGGAGGAGGCAGGGGGCTGGCCAGGATCAGACTGAACAAGAGTCATGTAAGGCAAATGCTTTTACCTGGAGGACAACAGAGAGTCACTAAAGGGTTTTAAGCTGTAAAATGACATCAATTTGCCCATCCGGAGACTCACTCTGGCTGTAGCACGGACAGTGGATTTGAGGGAACCACAGTGGCAAGGGGAGCAGGAGTGGAGATCACCAATGGAGAGACAGGGGCAGCCCGGCCAAGGCAGGGCGAGGGAAGGGAGAGAAGCAGTCGGAGGCAGGAGATCAGGAGGGCATCTCGACAGGTCTTGAGTTGAATGGACAACTTTGATTGGAAGCTCAAAAATGTCTCTTAAAAATGCTGGCACATCAAATGTTTCCCCATGACCCTTAATGCATATCTGCAGTTACAGAGATCTTTCCATGCCATATCCATAGAGCTTGAGAAAAGGTACTTCCTATGTAGCCTGTCCATCATTCATCAAAGAGTTACGGATCTCATTCTGTATACCAGTCTCTGTACTTGGCCCTGAGTGAATGATGGCCTTGGTGAGCTTACTGAATAGTGGAGAAAAGAGTAAAACGAAAACAACAGAAAACAAGAATCAGTAACAAAGGACTTCAAAATGGAAGGAAACAATTGAGAGGGTAGCAGGCCTCCTCGGATAAAACAGCAAGAAAAGGTCGCAAAGAGGAGGGGATTTCTAAGCTTGGGGTCTCCAAAATGACAAAGTGAAAGCACAGAAGGAGCTGGGGAAGAGCACTTCAGCAATGAAATGCTCACCTGAACACTGGCCAAAGGGGGAAAGAAGCTGGCATCTTTCTGGTCTGTGTGTCTACTTTTATACCTGTGCCATGCTGTTTGGGTTACGATAGCCTTGTCATATAATTTGAAGTCAGGTAATGTGATGCCTCCAGATTTGTTCCTGATGCTAAGAATCGCCATCCCTCACTAACTTGCACAAACTGTCTACCTGCATTGATTTCAGCACAATCTATCAGATGCATGTAGCCACAATCCTCTACCCTTTATAAAAGCCCCTACTCTCTGTTGGGGAGATGGATTTGAGGCTATGTTCCCTGTCTACCAGCTGAGGTCATTTGTATTAAAATTTCCTTTCTTTCTTGGAAATTCTCATCATCTCAGTAATTGGCTTTCTGTGCAGTGAGCAACCAGCCCTAGGCTGGAACCCGTTTGCAGTTTCAGAAACATCATCTTCTCAAGTGCCCGTGCCACACCCTGCTGATTGTGCCTCCACCTGCACTGCCTGACCTGTATCAAGTCACCTTCCTCCTCTCTGGGCTGCTCTGATAGCCTCCTGATGGCCTCCTTCCTCCAGACTGGGCCACCTCCACTCTTCACCCCATAGGGGTGAGGCTTCTAAAGCCCGAGTCTGAATGGTATCACTACCATCATAAAACCTTTTAATTGCTCCTGGGGTAAATCTAAACTCCTTGGCATGCCCTGCAAGGCCCTTCCAGACCGATGCTCTCTGCCCACGGTGGTCTCTTCTTTAGCCCTCCCCTCACCCTTGGCTGTTCTACTCATGCTGAAGTTCTTTTAGTTCCTCAAATATTCCTCTAGGCATTCACGATCCAGCAACAACACTCTCCCCTATGTCTTTGTCCGGCTAATTCCTCTTTATCCTTCAGTCCCAGGAAGGGAAGCCTTTCCTGACCCCCACCCACATTAGTGGGTGCTGGACGTGGGTGCTGGTGGGTGACCCCCACCCACATTAGTGAGTGCTGGACGTGGGTGCTGGTGGGTGACCCCCACCCACATTAGTGGGTGCTGGACGTGGGTGCTGGTGGGTGACCCCCACCCACATTAGTGGGTGCTGGACGTGGGTGCTGGTGGGTGACCCCCACCCACATTAGTGGGTGCTGGACGTGGGTGCTGGTGGGTGACCCCCACCCACATTAGTGAGTGCTGGACGTGGGTGCTGGTGGGTGACCCCCACCCACATTAGTGGGTGCTGGACGTCCTCCCGTGCACCCCTGCAACCCACATTTCTCGCAAGGTTCACCTTTATATACTGGATAGTTCTTGTTTGCAAAATTGCCTGTTTCCCTGTCTACACCGTGAGTTCCTTGAGGGAAGAAGCCACATCCAAGCTGCTCACCACCGCGTCTCCAGTGCCTATCACATGACCATGGGAAAAAGAAAAACAAACATGTTTACCTTCTGCTAGGTCCACAAAGTCTCTCTGAGTAACGGAAACAAACTGATTTGATATCGATTTCTTAACTTCTTCCAGTGAGGCTGGGATTGTCCAAGGGGGGCAGACCTTTAATGTTGTCTTCTGTTGACTTTCAGGTAGTGTCCACGTAAAAAAGCCCTATAAATGCAAAGCAGTTTTCAAGAAAGTCCGTATAGATCCCAATGGAGTCGAGAACATGAGTAGTCACGTGTACACATTCTTTTGAATTCTTTGTGCTCAGCAATTGCACTGAAGCTGCATGCATGCAAGGAGCCGTTGGTTTACCTAGCTGTTAACTCAGGTACTTTGTGCATCTCTTTGATTTTTTTCATATTGGTGACAAGAAAATAAGATTGAAAACTTCAAAGAGTTGCGCTTCTAAGCAGAATTCTCTTGCAGATAAGGCCAGGGGAGGAGAAAGGCCACATTAATCCTGTCTCTGGGCAGACATTGGCAAGCAGCACAGACAGCCGCTGCTCTTCCCTTGGGAGCCCCGGAGGGAAACCTCGCCTCGTGCAGAGGCCTCAGCAACTTCCTGAAGGCCAGGCGAGGGAGGGCACTCTCTCTTTTTCACCCCAAAGAGGTTTCATTCGTGTAAAACTTGAAGCTTCCACTCCTCTTTCTCACGACCTTGCTTCCTGAAGCCACCAGCAGAGAGCCTGCACCGCCCCCCACACCAGCTCCCCAACACACACCTGCACTCCACACGTGCACTCAGAAGGGCCCGGCCCCCTGGGGTACAGGATCCCAGTCTACTTGTAAACTAAAAATAAAATCCTAAGCCCCCTCTTGGCCAAGGGGACTCCAGAAAAACCCTAAAACAGTTCCTGCCCAGCATTAATGTTAAAACAGAGACCATAAGACTGCCAAAACAGACTCTTGTGACAATAAGATGCTAAATTATTAACAGGGCCTAAAGCCATGTGGGACAAAAGTAAAATCATACCTGCAGCCGTCAATTTGCTTAACAGATCACTTGAGTCAGTATACTGTGGTTTTTCTTTGATCAACAGACTTCCTTAAAACTTAAAATATTCCAAGCCTTTAGACAAACCTTTGTTTCTTTCACTAATTACAAATCAAAGAATCTCTGAACCCACCTATAAGCCCCTGCTTCAAGACATCTCACCTTTTCGGGCCAAACCAACATATGCCTTCCATGTATTGATTTATGATTTTACCTGCAATTCCTGTCCCTCTAACATGTACAAAATCAAACTGTAACCCAACCACCTCAGGACCACCTGCTCTAGAATTCTTGGGTTGGCTCCTCAGGCCATGGGCACACACACGTCAATAAACCTTGGAATAAACCTCTTTATTTTACAGAACTTCCATTAACATACTGCAGCAAAGTGCTCCACCAATTTTACTTCTCTCTTGCAACTTCAATTTCTCCCTGCCTGCTGGGTCATTTCCATTAGTATCCAAGCATGTCTTTATTTCTCCTCCCTTAAAAAGAAAACACTCTCTTCACTCTAATTTCCCCTCTAGTTACTAAGATATTTCTCACTTTCCCTTTACACTGAAATTACTCAAAATCATTATGCATACTCACTGCCCCAAATATGTCTTTCAAAACTCATTTAATTTTCAGGTTCTCTCACAATCCTCTTTTTTTCCCTGTCATAATTTATCTACTGGAGAAACCAATTATAATTTATCTATTGAAGAAGCTGTTTGATATATAGAGGTTCCCATGGTCTGGATTTTGTTGACTGCATACAGTTCCTCCGTTCCCTGCATTTCCTGTAAATTGGCAGCTCTATCCAGAGACTCAGATTCAGACTCAATATCTTTGATTAGACTATCAATGGTGTTTGGCAAGACTGCAAGAGGCACGTAATATATGGTTGTTTCTTTTTGTGTGATGTTAACAGCTGTTGATGTTCAAAACCTGGATTAATAGGGCCTGCAGTCTGGCATGCTAGCTCTCATTGGCTGAGGACACACAGGGCAGCCTGCCATGCTAGCTCTCATTGGCTGAGAACACACAGGGCAGCCTGCCATGCTAGCTCTCATTGGCTGAGAACACACAGAGCAGTCTGCCATGCTAGCTCTCATTGGCTGAGAACACACAGGACAGCCTGCCATGCTAGCTCTCATTGGCTGAGGACAAGGCAGTCTGCCACACTACCTCTTCTCAGCTGAGAGCCTTCCATAGCACTTAGAAGAAGGCAAAATTATATGCTTGTCTGTATGCATATGTATACATATATAGTGTAATATTGTAATCAACTATTTCACATTAATTTTTAAATATTGAAGAAAATAATTAAGTTTAATGGGTTATGTGTGTATGACTCCCAAGTCTATATCTCCAGCTCATCTCTCTCCCCCAGGCTCCAGACCTGTATATTCAACTGCCTCTTGGATATATCCTCAACCAACATGTCTTCAACTGAACTCACATTTTCGCCTATGTCCTTCCCAGCAAACCTGGTCATCTGCCATGTTCCAGCTTAATAAACAGCATCAGCCTATGCCCAGCTGTCCATGTCAGAAGGATGGATGTCATCCTTCCCTCTTTCCTCTTCCTTATCTTTCACATCATTATAGTCATCAAATCCTGTCCATTCCACCACCTTATCATCTATGGGATGCATGCAGGTGGCTCCATCCCAGGTGGCTCCCTTCCAGGTGGCAGCCAAGTAAATGAAACCATTTACTACAACTAAGCACTGCCTTTCATGATGGGAGAAGGGTACACAAGGCCAAGAAAACACAGAGCTAGGATTAGTTACTTCCATCCAGGGGAGAAGGGAGTTAGAGATGTCTCTCTTTGAGCTGGGCTTTGGAGAAATATAGGGGTTCCCTTGGTGGACAGGAGAAGGGCATTCTAGATAGAGGCAACAGAATAGTAAAAGACCTGGAGGTTTGAGAGTACACAAAACTTAATACCAAACACAAGTGCTTATACATGCCTATCATAGCAGCACAATTCAAAATAGTCTCCAAAGGTGGAAACAGCTCAAATATCTATCAACAGATACATGGGTAAACAAATTGTGCTATGTCCATATAATAGAGTATTATTCAACTACGAAAAAGAATGAAGTGCTGATACTTGCTACGATAGGATTGAAACTCAAAAGCATGCTGAGGGAAAGAAGCCAAGCAGAAAAGTTGACCCATTGCATGATTCCACATGTAAGACATCCAGAATAGGTAATCCACAGAGAGAGAAAGCAGATGGGTGGTTGTCAGGGGCTTGGGGTTTGGGGAGTGGGGAATAACTGCTTCATGGGTATGGGGTTTCCTTCTAGGGTGATGAAAATGTTTTGGAACAAGATGGAGGTGGTGGTTGCACAGCAACATGGATATTACTAAGTGCCAGTGAATTGTTCACATTAAAATGATTAATTTTATGTGATGTGAATTTCACTTCAGTTTTTAAAAGTCTTAACAAAAAAAACCCCTAGGGGATAGAGAAGTGGTTAGAAATAAATGTGAGAAGGTAGACAAAAAATAGTCGAAGAAGGACTGTGTACCCTGTGACTTGTGGGAGATGAAGGGTCTTTATAAAACATTCAAACTCTCATTCTTAAAGGTTGTTGACACAGTATTAAATCCAACAGGTGTGTAAATGCTTTCTTACTTGTTTGGGCTCAGGCGTTTGGTTCCTGGCTCCTCTTGAACTCCCAGGGTTGATCAAGACTTCTTTGGAACGTGCTTTCCAAACATACTCATCATTGTATTGTGTCTGATTGGGCATAGGGTCACTAAGTGAATACGTATATCCTAGTCTTCTGATACTTTTTTTACTATTAAAAAAAAAAGGTAGAAATTAGAGTAAGGGATTAAATGTCAAATTTCACACTAGTATACATGTCAGATCAGTTTACTCATGACATCTTTTTAAAGACTGGCTGGCTTAGGACTTGATGCCAGAAATCATTTAATTTCCAGATTCCCTTGAAAAGAAACAATCTTGTATTTTAGGATGGCTCTTAACAAAAGTATGAAGATCTAAAATGAAATTTTAAAAAATAACAATCTGAAATTTATTTCGTTAATTTTTTTTTAAAGAGCTGGGTACTCTCCCATACAAACAGTGCTTTGCCATATCCAAATGGTTGATGAAGAAAAGTTTCTCCCTATAGAAGTATTCCAGTTGATAAGAAGGAATATAAGAAGTAGGCTATCACGGGATTGCAAGCCCTCATGAAATATTGCATCCAAGCAGTGACCACCAATGTTCACTCACAGCTCAAGAGAGCGACCGCCAGACATCATGTGCTTCCGGGTGGATATACACAGCATCACCTATTAACAATTTTTGCCAAAATACAAAATCCAAAGCAGATGAAGTCTTTAGAATGTTGGATTACAGCAAACATATGAAAAGAAGAATATTTTAAATGACATGTTGGAATGAAATTAGAAAAATCCAGAAGAACAATCCTGTTTCTTCATCAAATTGTCAGAAAAAGGAGGAATCCTCCTTTTTTTTCCCTTAGATTAAATGAGGTAAGAGACATCATAACCAAACGTAATATGTGGACCTTGTTTGATTTTAATTCCACAAAACTGTTTTTTTTTTAAATTATGAGATACTTGGGATAAGTTGATTACCATTTGGCTACTTGATATTAAAGAATTGGTTTTTTAAGGTGAGATAATAGTATTGTTATATATTTTAAAACATTGCTATCTTTTGGAGGTACATACAAAATATTTAGATTTGGAATACTACAATGCCTGCAATTTGCTTCCACCTAATCCAGTGGGAAGTTTGGGTGGAAGGTGTGGATGAAAGTATCTATGTATTGATGATTGCCATAGCTGGGCATAGCTAGGGAATTGTTGTATATTTCCTTGTGTATGTTTAAAATATTTCATATTGACCTTTTTTGTAAAAAAAAAAAAAAAAAAGGAGGTCTGGATAGATTCAGGTTATGTCTGTAAGAAACAAACATCCGGATGATGGACTGTTTTACTATCATTCAGATGTAAACTGGAGAGTTTCCAAAGGGGACACAACACAGCTTTAGAAGAATCAATTTTCAGATCTCAAAATGTCTCAATATCTTCTTTCCTAAAAGCATATCCGCCTGAGAACAAACCTGCACGTGCACACAGGTTCTTCCTTTCCCATACCCCTTGCCTAATTCTCCCTTGCCCACTGTACCATAGGGTCTTTCTCTGGTGCATTGCCTCCAGACACAAGCCTCCAATCAGGAGAGGGGTGATTTCAGGGAAGCCTCCTTGCAATCCAAGCCCCATACACTTGCCTGGGGCTGCGGTTTCTAGGGGTCCCACAAATTGCTGTAGGGAGTGCAAGGCTGTGCTATCTGCCTGTTCCTGGGAGGAACGTCTGGTTTTCCATCTCCTAACAATTACAAAATGTGCATCCCTCTTTAGGGAGAGGCCTCTGAGAGAAGAGCGGAGAATGTAGAATGCTGAAAATGGCTCTTTTCCTCACATACTTAAAGATAATGCATTCTTTGGCTTTGAAAAAACAAATTCCTAGGACATGTCATGAGCTGGAAAGAACAGCATCTCTGAGTGGGTGAAGCAGGACAGGTTGGTGCTGATGATGACTTTAAATATAACGAGCATCTTTTCTGAGACACTAAATTTTTGAAGATTCACCGGACAAAACTGGTAAATCAGAAACATGATTTTTTTTTCCAGATTTTGTATTCATCACTCAATAGATTATTTAAATCTTATTTGTAATCCAGTCGCATTATGAAATATTTACTCCAGCATAGCCAGTCGTTATTTTATTTTATGTTGTAAAATATTTAACAATGCAGGCAAGTCTATACCGGCTTGCCAGACCAATCAGTTTTCACCTTGAATAACTTCCTTTCATTGAATACTAGTAAATATTTGATTTGATGTTTAATTAAATTAATAAAATTATTCCTGGGGTTTTTATACATGATTATTATTAATTATTCCCAAAAGTCTAACAGCAGAGTTCTATATACATGAGAATATATTTAAGTAAGATCATATTTTTTATCATACTCCTCAATTAATAACTTATACACTTAGCTACACTTTTCATTGCCTTATTTTTGTTACTTCGATATAATTAATCATATGAAACCTGAATCTTTTTATACTTCTCCTGTTTATTTTTAATAATCTCCTTTAAAATAGGCATTCCATAATTCAGTTTTCCACAGTTTTCAAAATATTCCTCAAAACATATATTAACATTTATTTGAACTGAAAATGTCGTCAGATGTTGACAGGAAATAAACCTAATTTAACTCATTGGTTTGACAGCAAGGACTGATTCTGCCAACTAGTTAAAGATAATATAAGCTGTATAAGCTAAGTCTTCGGCTCCAAGATTTTGATGAAAATATATTAAAGTATGTGATGATAAAGCCTGTTATCCAAAAAGGAGATTGTATTAGAAAACATGTATTAAAATTAATGTTTTCATTTTCCAAGTCATTTTTGATCATAAAATATTAAACAGGTTGCCTCCAGGTGTGAGAGTAACAGGTGCAATTTAATAGTCATTTGTTAAGATGTACCTTTTCAGTTTGTTTCTCAGAGACCAAGATAAGGACTAACTCAATAAGTGGATGCCAAATCATCTCATTACTGGCTTTTGATAAAATTGAAGGGGTACCTAAATCAAGTTGTCACCAGATTAGTCATTAAAAATCACCTTGTGATTTCTGGCATATGACTCAGAATGAGTTCAGAGTGTTGAATGACATTGCTACACTAAAACTTTCATTCACATATACTTACATATATGAACAAAGTTTCTCAACACTAGAATCTATAAATTGAAAACAAAAGAGGACCAGAATAAAACTTTTGCTGAATGTAGTCTCATTATAAAAAATAATAGCACTCAAAACTGGATATGTAAACTAATTAAAAGCAAAACTGCCTCATTTATCTCATTAAGATGCAGCTGCAAAATATGTACTTTTTGTATTTAGCAATTATCAACATTTGTAATGTATTTGTTGCTTTGAGCAATTGTGTACTAAAAATAATCGTGATAACTCAATACTTAGGGGTCACATAACATGTTTAAAAATTAATTGCAACTAGTATGCTTAAATAGTTGCAAAGAAGTATAGTAGAGTGATCAATAAATTGCTTTCAAACATAAGATATATTACAGCAGGAAAAAAAGTCTGTGGAGGAAGTGGAGTGGAAATGAGTGTTCAGGAAGAAAAAGAAATGAAATAAATTATCAGAGAAGAGCTTGTTTATTTATTAAAAGGATCATGGCAAGTATTAATATTAATTTGCTAAGGCATTTAGAGTACTCACTGGTTATATTTAAAAGTTTTATTTTAAAATGTCAATATTTAGGATGGGCTGGAAGTTTAATCTTTTAAATTAAATCTTTTAATCAATTTAAGTTTACGTTGAAAACTTTTATGGGAACTTTAAAAATATGTGAATTTGAAGACCACTGACCTAGACTCCCTAAGTATCTATTTGTTGTTGACTTTCATCCCGAATGTTTCTCCTTCAGTGATACAGTCATATATCTGGCAGATGCACTACAGTCAGATGAAGAATCTCCCAGTGAAGGGCGATAACAGGATTGGGTGATTTCAGTAACTCAGAAATCTGGAATCTTGTGGCCTTGCACTTCTTGGAAGTCTACCATGTATCGTGTAGAAAAAAAAAAATGAATGAAAATGACTAACTTCTTTGTGCTAGTCACTGTCCCCGTGCTTTAAACTGTGTCCTCAGAGCAGCCACCTTAGGCAGGCACCGTCATCCCCGTTTCACCAGCGACAGAGCTGAGCCCCAGGTGGGCCGTTGCTTGTCTAAGGTGGCAGAGGTGACAAGGGTTAGAGCCTCAAGCTGAGGACAGAACCTATTTCCGCCAGACTCCACATCTATGGTCTTGCTAATACTCTGTTCCACGTCTCACAAAATTTGAACTTTTAAGGTAAAAGGAGCCAATAAAGATGGCAAACAATTCCCAAAGTGAACACAGGCAATCGAAGGCTCTCCGCGCTGATCTCACGCCTACTAACTAGTGATGCAATGAAAGATGAGACGGGTCCCTAATCCTGCTCTCACTCACCTACTGATGAGCTCAGAAAGGCAGCTGATGTTTAGAAATTCCCACCACCCTCGGCTCGGGTGGACCTGGAGGAGAAGCTGCAAGCCAGCAGCAATGTCTGGAGGAGCCGCAGAGGTAAGGACAGGGGGACGGTGGCCTTCCTCCAGCTTCCAAGACTAGTGCTGGTGATGGTTGGGATGACGAGTATCCACTCGTCCACACAGCCAATCACTCAATAGTCACTGCCTGCCTACTACGTATTAGGGAATGGATTCGATTCACGCTAATGTTCAGGTAGCACCAATCCTATCGACCTATATACCGGGTCGATTGTAAGCCAGGACGCACAGTCACTTTAGGAAGAGCCAGTGTGGCGATTTTCGGGTTTTCTCGTGGGAGGTTTGGATACAGTTTGTGGGAAGGCACTTTTGCTGATGCTTGGAAGAGGGCTGTGCCCACCATCACCCCTGCCCGAGTGCATTTTTACGAGCCTTCTCTAACTACTCTCTCTCTTTGTTTTGGGTTTTGAATGATAAAAGGAAAGCGAGCAAATGAAGGTGCATGTGTCCATCCGACTGCAGCAGGGACCTACCGCATCAAAGCAGGCACTGCTCCCATTTTAGGTGTGAATGCAGTCTTCATCGTGGTGGCGTAGGAGTCCCAGCTGAAATCGCCTGCCGAAAGTACGAGAAAGCAGTCTGAAATGGGGCACGCCAGAGTACTTTGATCAAGCATTGTTTTAACCATTAAAATAATTCTGCAAGGGGAAAAAAAAAATAAAAACTCCAGAGTCTAAGAAGTAAAGGCCAACTTATAGCCTCTAATAGGAAAGAGGAGAAGCTCAACTTAATTATCTGGGCTCCCTTCCCATAAAAAATAGGTTTATCATTTTGCCTGAGTATTCATACCATGCTGTTTTAAAGAATTCAAGCCATAAAAATAAAAAGGAGAAAGTAGTTCATTTGAAATTCTATCGTCTTAAGAGATCCAGTATTCTGTTTTAGTGACCGGCATTTCACGCATCATATTAGATAAACCCCTATACATACGCGGGATGATTTTACACACGGGATCATATCAGACACGCCAGGCTGGACACCCTCTCACACCTTCCTTTCCTGGGCCACTGTCATCTTCCTCGCAGGTAGCCCATGTTAACAACTGTGCCCGTTTCTTTCTGTACTTACATACGTGTGGACGTAATCATATGCAGATTCATGCACAGATATATAAACACACAGGCATATTGGATTTTGGTTCTCACCATTTTGTTTTACAAAAATGGGTCCATATTACACAAAGTGTCCTTTTCTTATATCTGTCACTAACAGTGTCTTATGGAAAACCCCTCCAAACTCGTCTCAGATTCATTCTTTGTAATGACTGTGCAAAATTCTTCGGTGTGGATGTTATTTAAAGCCAGGAGAGCAGAGAGACCCACAGTGGACCGAGAAGATGCAGAGGACAAGTCCCAAGGCTGGGGCCTGGGGCACCCCAATGCCAAGAGGTTGGGAGAGGAGGGGGCAAGTGAAGGGCAAAAAAGAATAGACAGTGAGGGGAGGAGAGAACCAGGACCCTATGGAGTCCAAGAGCAGAAGGAAGAAAGGGAGGGAGGGATGACTTGCGGCAATTGGTTCCAGATGGTTCCAGAAGGATGCCGACTGAGAATTTACCCTTAGCTAGATACTAGCAACAGCACAGTTTTTCTGCCCCAACCTTCCATTGTCCAATTGTACAAAGTACCACCAAATTTCCTGAAAACATGTATTTAAAATTTTAAATTCAGTCATTCTCTCATTCTTCATATCTGGGCAGTTACCTGTTGCTTTTCACATGTCATGAGAAACTGGGTTGAAATGTCTCTATTTTTTAAATAAACAATGCTGTCTAGGATCTGTCAACTCATCCCTGGAATACCGTAGCCACCTCCTTGCCACCTCCTTGCCTGTTTTTGTTCCCCCTCATGTATCCTATTACAATTGCTATAAAGTATCACTCTTCAATTTCCCAATATTCTTAAAAGCTAGATGCACTGTCTAGCATAGACAGCACTGGCCAAATAATTTATGGTTCCTGTAGTCTGTAAGCATCTTAATGTTCATCTACTCATCACTCCCAACCAGACCTTGTTTCTAATTGAATAGTGTCTCTTTCCAGCTGGGATCTGCTCAGCTGTGACTGTTACTTACAGCCTTCACCCTGGGGTTCAAGTCCTACCTCCACTTGGAAGCTCTCCAAGTCAGAGACCTGCGGTCTTGGCCGCCTGTATACCCCTCTCCACACCTCTCCTCACACACTCCCGGGTCCTGCTCTCGGATCTCACTCTTCCAGAAATGGCAGCATTCCCGCCTGAGTGGGAATCATTTTCTGTTTGAAAGTATTTTATTCCAATAGTAGAATTAAATGTTCTTTGTTAATAGAATTTCAAGTGTGGACAAGTAGAAAGGAAGAAGTTGGGAGGCATGCCGCTCGCAAAAGAAGCCTTCTTTAGCCTCATTTGAACTTCTGAGTGGCACTTCGAAGGATCAAGACCATGCATCACTTAGCCCTCCTATTCCCAAGGCAAACAACATTAACCCAGTGCAGATCATGTTCCTGTTAGGCTCAGATAAGCCTCAAAACCCTGCAGAACAGCGCTCCAGGCAGATATGCTTCTCCGTGTCTCGTCTGGGTCCTTCTAGGAGGACAGGCTGGGAGCTGGCAGCGGGGCCCCATGATGGGCTAAGCGCCCATCCCAGGAGCCTGCAGGACAGGAGCGACATGCCTGGTTGCTGCCAGTGGCCGGGGCCAAGCGGTCCTCCCTCTTCCTGAGTTACCGTGGGACACACCAGGCGTTCCCTCTGCCACCTACTTCCTACCCGCATGGACGCACACTTGACTTCAGTACATCCTCCTTTAATTTCATGTTTAATGATTTTTCTTGCTACGGTCCTTTTTGTCAAGCCTGCGTTTCTCTGCTTTATACCTTCATTGTCAAAGCTTCTGAAAATAAAGTATGTTATTGGAATTTGTCCTCTTCATTAACAGAAATGTTCATTTGAAAATCCATCATCACAGTGTTCTAAAAATCCATTTCTAGTGTGTTCTCTGCGTGTCACTGTTTCTCCTGTCTTTCTTCTTGGCTGGTATCCCGTGTCTTTCTGTATACCTGTGTCCATCGCCCTGTGGTTCTGTCTTCCTGCTTCTTTCTTCCTGTGCTCACATCCGGTTCCTCCTACTATCAAGTCCTGAAGCCCTGTGACAGGACAAGCCCTGCACCGGGTGCTGGGGCACAGAGCCTGTCCTGGTCTCGGGGAACTCAAGGCCAGTGGAGGAGCTAAACACCCCATGAGCACAAGTTTAAAACCATGCCAACATCCCGTGCGTCACAGGGACCCAGAGGGCTCAGCAAGGGACAGGTGCACGGGGCACTTCGTAGCATGGGTGGCATCTGAGGTGGGATGTGATTGAGTAGACGTCTGACAGGGACACCCACAAGGACACAGAGTAAAGCAATTTGTAGAGGAAGCAGCAGGAAGTTTGAGAGTCTGGGACAGGACAAATGGCCCCACGCAAGGGAAGCAAAGGGAGAGGTGGCGAACGACAGGCCTGCCAGGCCTCGTGTGCCCTGCAACACCTAATCCCTCTTCTGCTAACCGTGGTGACCCACGGGATGTGTTCGTGATTATGAAAATATATTACAGAGCTTTGAAAATATTATAAAATAGTAACTGATATGCATATTATACTACAGATTACAAAGCATCTCCACATCTATTATTTTATTTTATTCTCACAATAGCCTGATAAAGCTACTAAATGGCACCTAATAATTCTAATCGGATGTTGGCTTGAGGGCTAATGGAGAGGATGAATGTAAAGCCACTGTAGCGTGCTGAAGGGTGGTCTCCAAAAGACATGTCCATGTCCCAATCCCTGGAACCAGTGAATCTGGCCTTATTTGGAAAAGAGGCCTTTGCACATGCAATTAAGGATCCTGAGATGAGGAAATCACCCTGGATTATCCTCATGGACCCTAAATGCAACTGCAGGCGTCCTTAGAAGAGACAGGCAGAGGGAGATGTCACACACACAGAAGAGGAGAAGCCAGTCTGACCACGGAGGCAGAGATGGAGAGATGCCACCGCAAGTCAGCAATGCTCCCAGCCACCAAAGCTGGGAGACACAAGGAAGAATCCTCCGCTAGAGCGCCCAGAGGGAGGGCAGCCTCCGCCAGACCTTGATTTTTGCAGTCCTGACCTTCAGAGCTGTCAGGAAATAAATTTTTGTTGTTTGAAGCCACCAGAGTGTGGTAACATAGAGCAGCCGCAGGAAGCTAATGCAGCACGGAAGAGCCCAGTCGGTGGTTGTTCAATAGCAGTTAGTCGTCACGGTCATTGTCAACCTTGTCCTGCCTTCAGACCAAAGCTGGGCAGTGACACACCAGGCCCACCTTTGGGGCGTGGGGTGACCCAGCACTGCAGGGTGGAGTGGCACAGAATGGCTATGAGGGACTGGAGTCTGGAGGGGAAGAGTCAAGCTCACCCAGGGGAAGGAGAACTTTGGAGGCAGAATCAAAGAGACCTGGCAATCAAACTGCAGTCTTAAGGAAGCTTCTGTGCCTTCTAATCAGAGCAGCTGGGACAGTCCTAACTGAGCTTTCTGGGAGTTTTGAGGAGGACAAGGAGTGTTATTTTGCACATGTTGAGTTGGAGGCCCTGCAGTGACATCTGAACAGGGATAGACAGTTGGATATTCTTGTCTGACAATTAGGAGGAAGACCTAAGTTAGAGATGAAGATGAGAGAGTCATAGCACCTTCGTATAGCACCTGAGGGCCACTCACGTGGAGGATGGAAGCCCCAAAAGGTAAATCCCGGAGGACTCCAACATTTCCCAGACAGGGAGCAGGACAGGAGACAGTGAAAAACCACAGAGGGGTGGTTGGAAAGGGAAGAGGAGCGCCCAAAAGAGTGCTGTCGCCATGTAGGGAGAGTTTCTTCCCCGCCTGTCTCTCCTGCGTGCCCTGCCACCACACAGAAACCGAATACATTTGGTATTTTTCGTGCGAATTAAGTATGTTCATTCTCTATTCATAATTTACAAAGGAGTGAACTGGAATGAAAATGCACATTTCATTCTTTCTCGCGGGAACACAGTTCTGCGAGAATTTGGACTTGGACAATTCCTCACTGCTCTGGAGCCACCATGGAACCACAGTTTTCTAGCTAGATGGCTGCAATGCGCGGTGACTGCCGTGAGAAAGGCCACCGTGGCGCTGACTGCACGGTGACCACGCCACTGCCCCCGAGGTAGAGTGGCGCTCCCTCCACAGACCCAAAGAGCCCAGCTGGCAAACGCGCTACCTCTGCGTGCAGGACTAGGATGGAGAGCACTGCATCTGCAAGGCAGGAAAGCTCTCTGAAAGAAAAATCAGCCCAGGGGTGGAAGCAGCGGCTGAATGCCACAGCTCCCCGCCTGCGCTACAGCTGGGTGGAGGGTCCTTGCCTCTGCCCTCCCCCCCCCACACGCATACACACACACACACCACACACTTTCTTTGCTGTTTCCCAGGCCCTGCATGTGGGGCAGGACCCAAGCCAGGCCTACTCTCCGCAGGGTTTGCCTGACCTCTGTTCCTCCTTTGCCTTTGGCCCTCTTCTCCTTGGGACAGCACTCATCCTTCCTTTTTCCTGTCCCCTCCTAGCCAGGCATTTCCTGCACCTTTTAAAGCACCTTGGGTTTTAGGGAGGGGGACGTGGCATCCAGTATGAGAAGAACTGGAAAGAGACAAGGTGACCAACACCCTGTCATTCTGCCTGACTCCCCGTCTCTGCCTCAGTTGAGCCTGTCCCTAAGAGGGAGGCGACACCCTAAAGACCCTAGGCGCCTAGGCCCAGCGGCGCCCCTTCCCCACCAGGAGAGACCCCAGCCCCGCCCTGCGCGGCGGGGTCCGCTGTCTTACTTGGCCCAAGCTTGTGGTCGCACAGAGAGAGGTCCTCGGGAGTGCTGGGCTGAGACTGTGCCATTCTGCCCAGAGGCAGTCGCGGGGCCCTGGCTGCAGCTGACCTGGGCCCAGCCAGAGGCACGCGGTGGCTTTGTGACGCGTCGCCATGGAGACGCGTGCGGGTTCGCAGCTCTACCTGGGCCCACGTGGGCGGGCGGCGTGGAGCTTCCCCGCGCCCTGGGGTGGGGGTGGGGTGCGCAACGCAGACACGCGTTTCTGATCACGTGGATACTTTCTTTTCACGTATTTGTGTAGTTCTGGCAATGAGCTCTCCCCACCACTGTGCTGTGAATTTCGGAAGAGGAGCAAAAGGGGACAGATGGAAGAGAAAGTAGCAGTGTCAGATTTTCTGCTGCAAACTTCCAAATCCGTTCATAGCTTCCAGCTGAAACAAATGAGGGAAAAGTTGTCGTGGATCCTTCCTCCGCACCAGGACCCGCGCCTGGCACCCACCGTAGTGTTTTGTGATTGACAATTTAGTTGTTCTTCTCCCCCATAGACTAAGCTGTGTCTTTCACCCCCATGTAAGAGTTGTCCTGGGATGACGAGGGTCTTTCATCTGCATACCTTGGCACCTGCCTGCTAAGCTCATACAGAGTAGGTGGTTAGTAACTATTGAACGCCCCAGGGTCAGAACACAGCTATTACCCACATGGGTGGAAATGGAAGACAGGAAATAACACACTGCAGATTGCAGGCAACATGTTTAAAAAGCCAGTTACAGCGGTTCCTTATCCTTAAAGCCGTTATTCTAACTTAGGACCTTAGGTGAACAGTGAAGTGTAACAGAAGAGGAGTTAATCAAAGGAAACGGAAAAAGCATGGAAGTAAGCATCCCAACTATATAGGCAATGGATTTCTTAAACAGGAAGAGCTAAACTAGAATCTTCTAAAGGCAGAGTCCTATCCATATAATGGAATGAATAGAACGCATTTTAGACTCTCAGATTTGGAAGCAATGAAGGGTGGAACACATTAGAAGGCACAGACGTTATTAAAAGGAACCAGTCTAAATTAGGGTTTAGTAGTGGCATCTATATTAAGAAAGTAGCACCCAATAACAGATTACTGTTTAGAAATGGTAAAACTAATTAGCATAGCATAATTTAAGAGAAATATATTTTTAAAATAGAGCAGTGAGTATATGGAATTTTTTAAAGTGAATTCTTATTAATACGTTACAATTTGTGTCATCTTAGGCGAGCCGTGAAATGGTGGGGGACACACTCAGCTGAGAGCCAGAGATCTCTCTGTCACTATCCACCCAGAGGCCCTTTGGGTAACCCAGATCCTTCTCTCGGCTCCAACGTCCTTATCTGTGAAACAAGTGTGCTAGTACCCCCTCACCGGGCTGTAAAGATTACTGATTCTCACAATAATGTATAAACTGTAAAGCCACACAAGTCTAAGGTGTTACTCTTCGGTCTGATTGCTATTCTGGTCTTTGTTCTTTTTATAGTCTTTCATTTCTGTTTCAAAATGTATTTTTGTGTGGGTCCATTTTAGTGTGAACAGTACAGCATCCTTCCTGACTTTGAATTTTGGTTGCCCGAGGCAACCCCTTTAAATGATTGAGTAGAGTTTTTTGGCTGTGGTTTTGCTTTTTTTTTTTTTTTTTGGTCTTTCTTCTTTCCCTCCACAAATACTGACTGTGCACTGAATACCAGCTGTATGATGGTACGAAGGGCAACAGCCTGGGTGCTACAGGGGACAACTTCCTAGAAGAGGAGATGCTTGAGCTGAGCCCTCAGGGATGCGTGGCATGGAGCCAACCAGGTGAGCAGGGGGATGTGACATCAGGAAGGGCGAGGGGCCTGGAACTGTGCGTGTAGTCCAGACACCCTGAGTAGCCTGGGGTTGCCATATTGTGAAGAGCACGGGGACCAAGAGCCAGCAGAGTGGCAGGCCCTGGGCCCACGCCGAGGAGCCCGACTTCACCTGGGCATGTGGAGGGTTCGCTGGGTGGGTTAAACAACGGCGTGAAGGGGCCAGGTGGGAAGTCTAAGTAAATCCCGGCCTCTTCTTCCAGAAGGATGAGAGGTAACGTTCCATACCTTCCTGCCGGGATAAGTTCATCATTCCGAAATTAAAACATCTAGGTTGCTAATATGCCTTTTACAGAGCTTTGAATTGGTCCCAAACAGCTGAGAATAGTTATATTGAATGGGTTGAATGCTAATTGGTTGTTTCCAGTTAAAATTGTTGTAATGGATTACTTTCTGCACACAAACACGCACCATGATGTGAAGTAGTAGGACGGGATGGGTGGTGAGGGTGAGGAGGCAGTAAGCACAGAACACTCAAGTGTGGGCTGTCAGGAAAAAGAAGGCCTCTGGCTGGGAGAAGGGAAGTGAGTTATTATGCAAAACAGGAGAGATGTGACCAAGTTCATAGGCCAAGGGTAAGGCGCAGAGAGGGAGCATGAAGCTATAGGACAGCGTAGATGGGGCCCAGGCGTGGAGAAGACAGGTGAGCTGGGGAGCGGCTCCTCAGCCTGAGTGTGCACGCCGCACCTGGGCATCGATTCAGCAAGTCAGCCGGGAGATTCCCAGGAGATGCACACAGTTTGAAATGGAAAAATCTAGAGCTTTGCTTATGGTCCAAGGTCCAGCAGTCTCTGCATCACCTGGGAGCCGATCAGAAATGCAGACGTTCAGGCTCTGCCTAGACCTGCTGAATCAGGATTCTGCACTCTCAAAAGATCTCCAGAGCAGAAGACACCTAGGCACACTGAACTGTGAGAAGCACTGCTCCAGGTCATATGAGAGGCAAGGTTAGATCTTCCTGAGGTCTCTAGGTCGCAGTTGCCACTAAGAGGGGTTGTGGGCAAATGATCCAAGAACAATTGCTATCCTCTTATTGAAAATTCCAGAAAAGAAAATTCTATAATATTCTCTGTTTTATTAGGCCAGTCCTATTTAATGGGGGGAATTCTAAATTCTACTTCTAACTTGCTACTCACCAAACTTACATTTCATCCAAATGAAACCATAACAGTCAAGTTCAGACTATTGATTCTGTCACAACCTTGTCAATCCCCTTTAAATGTGACCTCCCTCCTGGGCCACCCCTCCTCTCCCTGAGCCTTCTCTGATGTCTTTACAGAGCAAATGGCTGGGCCAGCCAGTAGTTAGCGCTCGTTTCAGGTTTGCACAAGTAATGAATATCGAGTGTGAACATTCATTTCAAATCTGTTATACCAGCACTTGTCCACCCAAATGAATGTTTTCTTCTTTAAAGTAATAATTTATTCTGATGGTGTTGCCATTGCTTGAAGCATTTTTGAAATTCTTTAGAAACTCCTTTTACAGACTGACGCACACATCCTTTTGAATTTCTTCGATAGGGGCATAACTTTGCTCTTTGAGGATAGATTGAACATTTCAAACAGTAAAAGACATTTGAGCTGATAATTAAGGTAGGAAATCAAGTTGGGCAGTGATATCATTTAGCCAAAAATCAAACTATCTCTATCAGGTAATAAGAAAAAAAACTCTCTCATTCTGTCAATAATTTCTGGGCTTGCACTCTTGTCGGAATAAATGAATTAGCCTCCTATGTCACTGAGAACTTGGGTAAGTCAACCACTTGGATCAATTAATCTTTACATATTTGTTTTGAAACTAAATTTTACAGTTACATGTCATTGATTTTATCTCCAAAGCTGGATCATAAGCATTTCCTTCTTGAATTTCTCTCATAGAACTTATTGTATTAGTCTTATCAGCTTGTACCACTGGTCTTTCTTTTATAAGACTAGAAACCCCTTGAAAGCAAGGGTCAAGCTTTAGGCACTTTAATGTGCCAGCATCTACCTGGTACGTACCTGCAACACGTGGTGGGCACTCAAGCATGTATAGAATGAATGGAAATGAATTGAATGAATGGAGGTCATTGTTGTCCTACAGATTCTGTTAATCTTCAATGGTTAAAATATCTGCATTGGGTTACATTTATACTCAGAATGAGGGCTCTTTTACCAAGGAAGATCTGTTCCTAGATTTTCATCAATTTTAAAGATAGCACAATATCACTTCTTTGTCATTTGCTAATAAAATACTAGCACAGTGTAAATTTCCTTATAGGCAGTCAATAAAATTTTGCTGAGTGACAGTTGAATGAGTGGATACATTTGGTTCAGAGTTGACTGAGAAAAAGTTTTTAATGATGAAAGAAATCTTCTAGATCTTTAGTACATTCCTGGGGTGATACTGATGTTTTTTCTCAATTTCACCACTCAAAAAAAACTTCTTTGTCGATTTTGTAACTATAGTTTCTATGGCCTTTGGGAAGTATTTAATATTTGATATCTACCTAAGGTGTGTTTGCACTGGTATGAAACTTATTTTATTGTTAATGCTCTTAATTTTTACTGAGTTTAATAACAAATGTGTATCCTCTTCTGTTATTAAGTAGCATTCTCCTTTTCTGAAAGACCAGTATCACATTTTGTTTCTTTTTTATGAACACTCCATAGCCTTGTTTTTCAAAAGGCTCTTCTTGAGAAAGTGGCTATGAAAACCACAGTTCTTATTGTAATTCAGTAAGCTATAAGGCAAATATACCACTCGCAAACCGCAATGGAAAGATCACATGCACCTTTGGTCACAAATTTAATCAACTTGTAGGTTGAATGCTAAGAAAAGTTTTAATTGTGCAAATGTAGTACCATAACATTTCAAATGTTATTTTTCATAAATGAAAAGATCATCAGTAGTGTTATCAAAATGTGCAATACAGGGGACACATTTTTTAAAAGGATAGAAAAGTTATTAATCAGGACCCATAAATCTTCCTCATTATAATCCTATGTATTGACTCATTCATGCAGGTTTTTATTTGTAGATAGGATGATTTTTTTCTTTTGAAGAATTCCATTGCAGCAATGAGATGAAAAATGTATTGACATAATAATGTCTTATGGTAATGGTATAGCTTTCTTCTAGCTTGCTTTTAGTGTTAGCATGGCTAAAAGCTTATTTAAAATACCCAACTGACAAATGTGCTTTCAATAAGGGGGACACTACCTGTCCATTACCCTTCCCCTGTCATTATCTGGCACCACATCACCTGGCCCCATTCCACATGGGTCACTTC